GTCTGCGCCGCTCTGAGATTGCTGTCTTGGAATCACTTTTCCGTCCAGACAGGGCCATAGCGTAAACAAAGGCCTTTTATTGTCTTTGATTTTGGAAGACAGGTTGGCTCACTGAATGCCTTGCGGTGAATGTCCTCCAAGGCCAATTTCTTAAAGGGAAAAACGTGCATTAAATGTGAATTAAATGGAAAATTCAAGTTCTAGAATACTTAAACTCATTTTAAAGAAAGGACAGTTTGATGACAGTTGGATATCCCAACAGACATTGAAAACTAATAATAGTAATGGGCACTACAGTAATAGTAAATTAAAATCATGACAATTTAATTCAATCGCAACTTTACAAAGGCACGTATAAAGAAATAAAGACGCGACTGTTACGCAACTTCCAGAACAAAAGCGTGTATGAACACACAAATGAAAGTGCTTGCGCTTGCACTATTGCATATTTATCAGTTTTACTACAATTACAGGTAGGAAGCTTGCTTAAATTAAGTCGAAATAAATTGAATGTAAAGAAAAAGAACATGGTAAAGTGATTAAACAAATTAATAGGATGTTTGCGAAACACTTACGGAGTTTGAAAATTGCAAACCTGAACTCAGATTTAACCTTTTGTTTCTAAATGTATTTGTTTATTTATTTATTATTTTATTTTCAGGTACTATGCAATTATATACTTCGAGCTGGGAATTTTACAAAACACAAAGAGAAACAAAAACATTTACAGACGCAAATCTGCGTCTCATTTTCAGAGATGCATTTACAATATATATCGATATATCATATAATATATAACAGATGTATAACATATTAAATACAGTTGAGAATTAAATCAGCCGCACCATATTTCAATGAACGACCCTATTCAATTCAAAGTGTGTCCCCATGCCTTTCCATGAACACTAGCAAATAATTCAAATATATACTGTAAGCTACATATTAGTAGTTTATTAGTTACCTTCCTCTTAAATTAAACACACATATCCTGTACGAGGACGTGCGCCAGATACAAAGTGTCTACATAAAGACCGCTGCAAAGCATGTGTCTTCGTGCTGAATCTACACTTGCTCACTTCCTGATATTTCCACCATACGCCACCAGAGGTTATCAACCCCCTTTCTTCTCAACCCGCTGATCACTCTCCTCGCACTCCAGCTGGTCGGTTTAGAATCGGCGAAAAAAAAAAAACTAACGTGAGCCCGCCTTTCGCATTAAACATCTATTATTTAAGTAGCACATTGATCACAACCATATAGTTCTGAAGATAGTTTATTTCTATATTTATTGTTCTCAGATTCCAGCATTGGTAGAGATATGTGCCATCAGAAACGTGCCTGCTTTATGCGTATATCCTTTTTTATTTTATTTTTTTTAAATGAATACGTATGTGCTTAAATCAATTTGGACAGCAAGCTAAGAATCTGTTTTAGGGGCATATTATTACAACATCGTTTGTTGTTGAGATTGCAATTAATAAACCAATGCAGTGGTGAAAAGCAGTTGTTACACGACAAAAATTAGCACAGCAAATTACGTAACAGATTTCTATATTACAATACCACCATCTGTCATATATAAAACCAGCAAGTGTTATTAAAATTATAGTCAAAACAATACAATTATTTCTATCAAATAACAAAAATAGTGCTACACAAAACAAATCTACTTGCTTACTAAACTACTTACAGATAATTATGAGAAATACTGTCTTTTTAATAATTTTTAATAATCTGTTCAGAATTTATATTCAGACTTTAGAAATCCTACAATTTAAATAATTCTATTCACTTTTTGCAGAGAGCATAAAATGATGAAATATTTACATTATGCAATAAATTAACGAAAACAAGGGCATTTGAAAATTTTTAAAGCGTGGTGTGTGTGTGTGAAGCTCAAGTGAGTAGGGGAAAAAACATATTGCGTAGACTTTTCCTTTTCCCCGCATTGCTAATAATAGATCTATGCATATATTGAAAAGGCCTTGCGCCTAACCAGACAGAAAATGGTAGCTTGACAGAGCAAGCGCTTTAATAAAAGACCATAAAATAAATGCATACAATTCTACATCTATAAATATATTACTCATTTCCATATTAAAAACACCAAGGCATTGTGCATATTCACTACAAATAAATAAACTAGCTATACCTTTTGACGTGACCCTGGATGCATCTCTTGATATTTGGGAAGTAGTACCCATCATTCCTCGACGCGCATATGGAAATAAAACAAGATGACATCTCTTTTGCAGACGTAAATGCACTACCTGCCGTCGTGGTCAATAAAGCCTACACCTCATGATGGATGAATACAACCATTGGTGGTTTAAAACTTATACGGGCAAGGGATCGCGGAAGAGAAAAATCAGAGTGTTCAATTGTTATGAGAAGTAAAAAAAACCGAGTGTACATGTTCACACTGACAAGGATATTGGATAATCAGAGCATTTTCTTTTTTTTATGTATTTATGGTATGTCATTAACTCTCGCCGTCTAGACAGGGAAATAACACCTTGTTTGCCCGAAAACAAACCATAGGCAGTGGTGTCCAGCCCCTCTGTTTATTATTCACAAGACTCTGTGATGTCAAGGTCAAAGCGACAGCATAGTCATGGTCAAGGGTAACGCGCGATCACGTGACGGTACAACAGAAGGCCTAACTATCGTGCAGTTAACATCAAATTTCTCACTCCTCAAAGTAACCAACGTCTGCACATCACTGATAGTTGACCGACGACAAAAAGTTTTATCAGTAACCAGGTGTGTCTGGCCAAGGTGTTACCGAGGGATTTAAAAGTTCCTAAGTATACACCACATTACAGAGTTTCTTATATTCTATATATCTACTTTTGCTCATATACGCCCTTCAATTGTACATTTAACAGTATTTCTTGTTTCTTAAGGCGAGTTAGCTTGGTGAAAACTATACTAGATTAAAAATTTTTTTTTTAATTATATATATATATATACACACACACACACACACTATGTATGTAGCCTATATATGTGTGTGTGTGTGTGTATAAAGATCAACTGCTATCAAAAAATCAGAAACCTTTAAATAAAAATCAACAAGCCTATTTTCTATATCTTAGAATATTAACTCAGCTAAAATTGGTTTAAAAACATAATTTGTTGACACAATATTAATTAAATTATGTCTGATTAATGATCCTCTCCGGATTATTGTAAGACTCGAACTGTCCGGTACACCACCGTCTTTAGCAAATTAGTTATAACAGGAAGTTGACAGCATTTAATTTATTCCTTGAATGTAACCTAAGAAAAAGTCATAAAAAAAAGTAGTTAAAAGAAACTACCTGAAGCATTGTTAATGATCTAATTTATTTTATTTAATAAATATTGAAAAATTAATTATACGTTGATAAAGGAAATGTTTAAGCATTAGATGAATGCTATGCTTCCGTGCATAATCCTTGTGATCCAGTAGGAAACGGTGAATATCATACTGTATCTAAATGTTGCTGAGGCATATTCGTAGTGACATTTCATCGATTTTTTTTTCGTATTTATTGTTCAAAAACATTAGTTAAATTGTGGTAAAATTACCGACAAATGGAGCAGACTTTTAAATCGAGCACTTACTCGAAATTAACGATGATATTGAATATAATTATAATGAAGAATTATATTATTAGCACTATACTTAAGTAAATACGCACTGTGTAGTGCACTACTTGAATTATTAAAATATGTAAGGCCTACTGGAAGCCCCGTCGCTTGAGCATTCTGGTTCAAATTAAACTCTGCGTTCAATTTTGGACTGCTAACATTTAAACTATGTATCTAAATCGACTGTTTGAGTAAAAAGTTTACTGATCATACTATATCATTTGCAATCGTCAATACTATCCTGTCTTGTCACTAATATGAAAGTTGTGTTTTTTCACTATATTTTAGGTAACCCCGAGCAACTACTATCGATGAATAAAGTTCTTAGCAATATGTAGCCTACACACATTAAGTCTATTGAAAAACCCTCACCAAAATGACACAAAAACATCGCATCTATTGTAAGAGCTCACTTTCAAGCTTTACCGAACAGAGATGGACACATATGTATCTATGGAAGCGGCCATAAATGGGCCACCTGTCACTGATAACTGAAATGCATTGATTCACTACAAGTAACATTCCATTGACATTTTTATTTATGAAATATGTTTCAATTCAGTACTTTAGGAATTGAACACCACAATACAGTTCACATACTGCACGAAAAGAGATACAGACAAGTTGTGTGAACAGCTCCAATGCTTTACTATATATATTTCTATATAAACACAAAAAGGTTGTGCATTAATGTTTAATACTAAATGATTTTAAATGCTTACAATCATTCCAGTTGCATGGCAGAGTCATATCCTTCACTGTTAATAGAGACATATACAAATGATCTTGAAACATTCCTTTTTTACAGACCTGTCATACGCGAAATCTAAATTAAATAATAGAAGCATTAAACTGTACAGTTAACATTAGCAGCCTGGTTTACCCTCGGCATTAAAAAGCAATGTATCCCACAGTGATCCATATAGCTTTTGAAGTCTCGCAGGCTCATTCAAGCAAAATCTTTGTCATTTCCACGAAAAACAAATGACGGTTCTATTCATGACCCAGTTCAACATTTGCTACAGCCTTTCGAGAGTTCATACAAGTCTTGATTCAACCAAAGTGTCTCACAGAATTTTTTTGTTTCTCTCTCTCTCTCTTCTTCTCGTGCGTGTTGAGCACCTCGAGTGTTTTCTGCTGGCTGGTTGGCTTTGACGCACTCAAGAAGAGATGCAGAAGGGTCGCTTCTCCCTTTATTTTCAGATGCACGTAAACCATGTGTCTCTTTGATATCGGTGTAATTTTAAATATTTATTATTTATATATGTACATTCATAGAAAAAGACGAAGTTGAAATGTTTTATTTTTTTCTGTATTTTCACAGTTTTGTATCATATGCCCAAAAAGCTAAAGAGTGAGCGGTTATGGTATTGTGTGCATGATTTCAATTAAATAAAGTGAAAGAAGACAGGTTATGCTTGAGGCTGCCCGCATGTTCTTCATTCACGATTTCTGAACGGAGGTAAATATCAGACTTTCTGGACAGAAGGGTATAAGCTGGCGGGAAAAAAGCACGAAACATACATCAAGTATGCATGTGATTATTAGTAGTAGTCTTGGATTTACTGACAAACTTTTTCTCCTTCACTCTGCGGTTCTGGAACCAAATAGTAACTTGGCGTTCTGAGAGGTTGGTTGTCGCAGAGATGCGTCGTCTCTTGTCTTTGGTGATAAACTTGCTTGCTGCATACTCTTTTTCCAATTCCTTTAGTTGCATCTTGGTGTAGGGAACACGCTTTTTGCGTCCTCGACGATAACTGCTGACTTCTGGCTGCAACGGAACAACATCTAAAAAACAAAACATAAATGAAATTATTATAACCGGTTATGCCTAGTGAGACACAAATGAACGATTACGAAAGTTTGGTTCAATTCGACACTTTGGGGAAACACCATGAGTTAAGCTAAGTATTTAATTGTCAAATGAATTAAATATCTGGGGGCAATACTGTCAAATGAACAGAGGCAGCTATGTTCCTTTTGTGAGCTACTTTGTTTATTGAATCAAAAATAATATATATAAAAAATCATATTAACTACTGATATATCTATAGGTGGATGGGAGATATTTTTCGATTCATTTTACGATGCATCAGGTTTTGTTTTTTTCTTTCCAAGCATTGGAGTAACCTAACAGAACAGGTTTTTAACCAGCACTGATATACAGATAACAATAAATCTTTCTCGAGTAAAGTTTGGATGGATGGGGTTTGTGAAAAGACCAAATCACCCTGAATTTAAATTCTTGCTAAAACGCCAGGATTGTGGGTGGCATTGACAAGTGTTTGTCAATTATAATGCAGTACACCATTATGTAAAATCACGTATACCTTAATTATAATGTGTATTATAAATCAGTACTAACGCCGAGCAACATTCTTTTTCCAAAATCACAACCTGACTGTGGCACAGTAAAGGTAAAATAAGGTGAAGGATATTAGGCTACTCTGGCAGCTGATGCACAGACACATTCAGATGTGTTCTAGGATTTTCCCTGTTAGTAAACTGGTACATAATGTTTTAGACAGAGGCATGTCCTCTGCTCTTCTGTCAGTCACGAATTATTGTCTAACGGCCCCAAACACACTTAAAGAAACTGTAAATAACTGGTTTGGGGCATGTACGAAAACAGCACTAGATGTTTTTCATCAAAAGGACTGCATTAAACAAGCACATTTTGCTATATACTTATTTGTGGCTATATGAATATATGGCTACCTGTGTATGTGACCTCTGCTAGGGGGGAGGGTTGCTAAACGGGTCAGGGGCGTGATGGTGGTGACAATTCACTAGATCTGAAATTACAGTGAATACCTACATAGCACTGGTAATTTTGATTAGCCACAGTTGAGTAACAATACTGAATGACTGAGTTAGCATTCGCATCATATGCAATATTTTTGCTCACAGCTAAAATCAATAACTTGACTACAGAACGTCAGCTGCTCTTAGGGGAAAAATGCTGCACCATGGCATTCGCAAAATGTCCATAACAGATCGCGGGGCACCACTCCCGATCACTGCTGACAAAGATTTATATGCGTGCTACAAATAAGGACCTTCTGTATTATCATACGGGAGGAGCAAAGGTAGACAGTATTGCCATACCCCAGTTCCAAATTGCGTGACTTTCCTAGCTTTAGAATCCTGTGACTCAATAATATTCGAGTTAATATATGACTAACCTCTGTAACCAGATACGTCCCTCAAACATTGTACTATGTAAGACGTAGTAAATAAAAAGTATATTTTAGGCGAACTAAACTCAGTCTTGCTGAAACTTGTTGAGTTTAGGATTCGCTCAAATTCTTGTTGTGAAAAGCCAATTGAACATTTACCGACTGTCACATGTCAAAAATGAATAGAACAAAATCTACACATTTGTCAGGTTCATGCAGACCTTCTGGATGCGCAATCTTAATCCATTATGTAGAGTTGCGAGTTGAAAGCTCTTATGAACTGATTACTTTTCGTGAAGAATATAGCCTATATTTACACATTTCATTTAGGCGAATACTTGGCACGTTCAGTTTACAGTTGGGGAAAAATATATCATATCATAACAGGAAGTCGTATCATCCCTTTATTACATATGCATTTTTCATTCTTTTATGGTTACACAGCTATGGCAAGACATACCTGGAAACGGAGATTTCCAAAGATGAGAAGACTGTGTTTGCTCCTTTGAACAGTACACCTGCCCATCCCAGCCATTCGACAGAGCCCAGTGTTGATATCCATCCATGGGGATCAATGCATCGTGACGTGGCTCGGGATGCGCACTAATACTGGGGACCACCGACATGTCTAGATATCCTGGAACCGCCTGGTACGAGCTGGCAAAACTCGGGTAGAAAGCAAACTCTTTTGCCCTGCTGGAGAGCTCCTCCGTGGGCAAGGCACTGCTCGTCTCGGCATATTTTTCTGCGGGATGGTATGAACATGGTTTCTGCTGCAAGTTCACGTTGTGCGAGTGAGATAATCTGCAACCGTAGTAAGGGTTTCCAAAGGGATAGCCGTAACTCAGAGAGGCACTAGATGACGTCTGTGGAGCGGGGCACTGTCGCCCAGTTTCAGGGGAGGATATATCCGAGTACATGGATCCCTGGTGAGTCGCTATGGTGCCGGAATGCCGCCCCAGCGCGGGGTGTGAGATCAGTTCCCTGCAATGAGTCGCAGGGCAATTCCCGCTCAATCCTTCCATAATTTGGTTTTTATTCTGATTATTTTCATTCGGGCTTTTTTCATACACGTACATCAAGGTGTCCGCCCAGCGTGGATGCAGGACCAGCGAAGTCGTCATATCACGGGCTGCCGATGCTTTTTAAAAGTCGCCTACTCCAGGACTGATACCTCATTTCCAAGTACATTTTACGTACGCGCATGCGCACGACTACATCCATGTGTCCAGTTCATTAAAGCGCAGGCACGTGATATGCTAACTATCCCAAAGAGACTGGGTTGTGGGTGGGAAGAATAATCCCTTTAAACAACTACTGGCTCACGTTTCACGCCTGGCTTCTAAGGTTTTCGGTGCCCAGGCATTGGCTAAGAGAGTTGGAGATAGCTGTTCTTAAAGGGGAAGGCTTTAAGCTAAGGGGGAACGAAAACAACCTCAACAATTCGGCCGACAAATGTCCGAGCACTTATATGCATTTATATGCAATGTTTTTAATTTAACCTTCATTATCTACAATCTCAAACGCAGCATATCAGTAACAACATTAATATATACATAAATATATGCATACAGGGAAACGTGCATAAATTCATAGTTTTACAGAATATGAGTAGCATAAGAAAATTATGCATGATATAAATCGTATGAATTCAATTATTTTTCAGTTATTTTATTGCAATAAAAGCAGCTGTTCGTTATCGTCATTTACCTGGAGGAAAGGATTTACTTCCGACTGCATTTGAGGGGAAATACTTGCGTTTTTAATATACGAACGAACTGCTGTGCTGTAACATATATTTTAAGGGACAAATCAACAACAAAATAACGATTAATACAAATACCTATAATACTCTGCAAACAAAAATGCAAAAAAACAAACAGAAAAAAAACATCCTACACAGGGCAAAAAAAAAGCATTAGTGTGCTCTGTCATGTTAATGTATTTTTCATTATGAAAATAATGTCGTATGATCATGATTCTTTTGTAAATTGTTTTCCATCGATTTGTATGTTTGTGTAGCACTGTTATAAAATAATTTTCCTACATATTCAGTTACACAATTGCAGTTTTAAGAGTTGTTTTTATTATTATTTTCGACGTACCCTCCAACATTTAGGAACGCGTGCTGATGTGTACATAGTTTAGTATGAGATCATCAAAGCAATGACAATCAGCAAAATATATTTTATATATAAAATATATATAAAAATGTTTTGCTGATACATTTTCACATTCTTTATTAACATCACTCTCTCTCATTGACTTAAAATGTCCAATGTCAGAATTACACAATACACATACAGTTTTGCAAGCATATAGCAAGCAAACATACAGTTTTTGCAAGCATGGTAGTAGTTTATTATTATTATTATTATTATTTTATGCTGCATTTTTATTTGAATACTAGAATGTAGAATATATTGAATCAGATCCAGCTAGTGTCATGACAAGAAAGAATGCATCGCCACTGGACAAGATTTTCTTCCGGTCTGATGTGGCACATTTACAATGCAACGTTTCATGAGGAATGAATAAGAGAGACCCATACTCTGTTAAAACATTCCTCTGTTATTAGTTTCAATTGTGTAGCGTCGAGACAGAGACGGTCTTTGTGCAATATAAAATCTGAACTGTTTTTACCTTTTAGACAGTGTTGTGTGTTTTGTGCGTTAGATAGCATTTTGATGAGTTCATTGATTATTCTTATTTGCAAAGATAAATCCATCGTTGACTTCACAGACTGAAGAATGGACAAATCTTACAAATGGCAGCTGCATGGAAGTCCAAGGTCAAGGTAAAAAAAAAAAAACGCAGACAAACAGGGTCGTAATCAGAGTCTAGACAGACAAGAATGAACTTCACACTCGTATGCATGCAAACTCGCTGTAGCTTGAAATGTTTTGAGATACAACTTGGGAAAACGGAAAAGAAACTGGCAAACAATCCAAGAGGTCCCCGAATTAAATTTCGCCTTTTTAAAGTGCACCGGCATCTGTTAAACTGTTACGAGGAAGACAAATACGACTAAAAATGCAGAAATGCAGTATTCTTCTTCTCGTATTTCTGTGCAGTGTTCCTCTGTATGACATTTTATGGAACTTCTTGCTAACTTATCTGACTTATATGATCCAGATTTGTTGACATTAATTAAACGAGTTGCGCTACATTAACCATGTTTGTCACAAAACACAGAAAAATTGTTTATACTGATACAATAATGTACAATATTTCTTTACATTTTCTTCCTCAAACCAGCAAATTATTGATGTGAAAACATAAAAATGTAAAGTAAGAGGCAGGCAAAAGAGTTTTGGTCGAACATTTGCTAACTTATTTTTCTATATGATGTAGGGCAGAACTTGCAACAGCTTATGCAGTAAACTAGTAATTTTACCTTGGATTATCTTTTTGAAGAGCTCACTTTGATTTGTCAACTGCAAATAACTTCAAAAGTACATTTCTAACAATTATATCGGGAACGATCCCTGTTAAACAGCACTGTTATAACAAGTATAACACAACTTATCTCTTATTATAATAAAACAAAATCCAAGTGATATGAAAAGTAAATCTATTCGTCAATGCAAATACATTTCCATTATTTACACAACGTTTGATTAATTTCATATTCAAGGTCGCACTCCACACGCGGCAACGTTGTGCTCAGGTTATTGCTTCATGTACAAGTTGAAAGTATTAATTTAAAACACGTATGAATCAATAAAATAAGTTTGAATATGTAGGTATATTAATAAAAAGATTTGAAATAGCGCTCATTTAAAAGGCTCTGCTGACATCTGCCATTCCTGTCTGTTATTAGTGCGAAATATGCATTTTATTACACGCGTGTAGATTACAATTATATTAAACGCATCTCCTCTCTAACACCGTATCATAATGCTACTGCGTATGTGTAAGCTCAGGCTTTGTACTTGTTTGGAAATGTTTGCAAATCAGTTCAAATTACACGTCACCCTCAATAAAATATATGAACATTTTCGACACTTTGTGAAATAGCCTACAAGATCCAATATAGCTACATTACAGTTGCGCATTAGCAAGTCTACAGTCAAATCAGTGAGCATTGTTTGAATAACAGCAAGAGCGCTAAAATGGGAGCATTAACACACTGCGCCTTTAAAATTGTGACCATAGTGTCGAACTGGAAGATGATCCAGTAAGTGCCTCTGTGTCTGTGTCAGTTTGTCTCTACGTAAACGTGCGCCTGTGATTGGGAATGCGAGAAAGCACCTTTCTTCCTTGCATTGCTTTTTTGAAATCACAAAATACTTACATATTACAAATATATATTTCTCTTAACACTGAACCTTTCCTTAAAACTGAGTACATCTAGAAATGCACATCTCTGCGTGTTTCAATCTATGTTACAAGTATCGCTTTCTCTAGTCTTTGGCTTTGTTTTCACTTCTGTTGCAAAGAAACCACAGGTGCAAACTGAAATACATATCTTCATGCCCTTTCATTCTCAATTAAATTACCGTTGTGGTGGAATGCACACTGAATTATCAGCTTCTTAATCACAGTCCCAAATACATAATACAACCAGAAATCTGAACTTTAAAAAAAAAAACTGACTTATAAAATCACACTTTTTTTTAGCCCAAGTTCAAGGAGTAATGACATTACATAACATAACATAACAATACAAAGCATTACCTGAGAAGTTACATTCTCAGGTAATGCTTTGTAAGAGGAACCAATTGCCTAGTTCAATCATCATTGACGTAATCACGAAAACACCTAAAAGCGACAATAATTCTCACACACACACACAAATGATTTTCATTTTCTGACAAAGTTGGGACAGAAATTGTCGGTCACTTGGCAAATTCTTGTATTGTCAAATATTATATCTAATGGTAAAAAGCAATAGTAGATGTTTATATATTTTCATTTTCTTTTATATTTACACAACAAAACTTTAGTCTGTTTTCACTGCTCTGCTATTATACGCGCTAAACCTACAATATGAACCTACTACTATACAGGCATATATAGACAGATACCTGTCGGTCTCTCTGTAGATCTCGCTATCACACTGGGCCCAAATCTTCATTCAGATTTATACATTTATTAGGCATGTGCACATATAACAGAAAACAAATGAAGAATGGAAAGCATAACAATTATATCTATTTGAACTCTTATGCAAAGAACATTCAGAGTATACGCACATGTTACAATAATAAATATTTGTTTAATTTTATTCCATTTTCTGATATGAAAACATGAATAATACATTTTAGGCTCTTAAAGCACAGTCTTGAGTTGATCCATATAACCATTATTTCATTCATAGTATAAAACAAGAGTTAGCCTATATAGTTTTGATCGTCTGAGTTAAAGTCAAGGAAATCTGTCATTCAAGGATTTGGGAGTTGGATTGTTGTGGCTGAGCGTCTTACGTTTTCAAGGAGCGGGGAAAAATCGATTGCAACATCGGTTAAAGCTCGCTTGCCTCGACGCATTGGTTTCCAATGCACACAGAGACCATTCGAATATTCATGTTCAGTAGTTTAGTCAGTCAAAAATTACATTATGATGGGTATATCATACATCACAAATTAGATTCACTCACTCGATATTCTTTAAAGACAAGTGTTTTATTCTGAAATGCCTATATAATATCTGAACACGGTTGTTTATATTCCACCTTATTGTAATTATTTATAAAGACTTGTCTAATTGTTAAAATGTGCGTTAAAAGTATGTACTTACAACCTTCGCTCTAATACAAAACCTGTTCTACAGGTAAAATTGATTCAAATAAAGCAATCAATTTTTAATTAACCAAGAAAGAATGAATTTCCCACCAAAATAGACTACTCGATGTTTACATATACAGTATATTAAACGAAAGAACAAAGTTATTCAAAAGCGTAAACGCAACCTATGCCTAAATCATCTTTAAAAAAAAAGTGCCCCAGGCGTTTTAAAGCTACAGCTTTGCCTCTGCATGCACATTCTTGCGGTGCTGCTGCAAGCCTTGTTCAGGAATTGATTGAAAAAAAACTTCTTGCAGAGTGCGGTGCCAACGGTTATGAATATATATCAGTATGTCACTGCAGTGCCACAGTGCTATATTCTATATGCCTACCCAATTCCAATATAATTCAATACAAATTTAAGCTAAGAAAAACAGTCGTTCCAAATAAAACAACTCAAA